GGAAAGTCAGTTCCTGTATCGTGCGAGACAATTTTTCTCTCAAGAAACTGTCGAGAAATCTACCATTCGTTCATGCTTAGAATATTGCTACCACAAATGGGACAGTGTCCCTGATATTTAACTTGAGATTCTTGATAAAATCCAAAGAAGAATGAGCAATATTATTGGTCGCGATCTGTCGGCTCGGCTTCAGTCACTTTCCCAACGCGTAAATTTGCCTCTCTGTGCCTTTTCTATAAATACTTTCATGGTAATTGTTCAGGTGAGCTCTTCGTTAAGGTACCTCGAATTTAGACTATTATTCATCTATGCTTTGAATATTGCTGCCACATATGGTCTGGTGTCGCTTCTGTTTACCTTTAGCTCCTTGATAAAATCCAAAGTAGAATCAGCAGTGTTATTGGTCTTGATCTGTCGGCTCGGCTTCACTAACTTTCCTACCAGCATAAGGTTGCATCTCTGTGTCCTTTCTATAAATACTTTCATTGTAATTGTTCGGATGCGCTCTTCGCTGTAACATTAAGACTAATTTAATTTAAACGCTGTACTAAACTGGCGTCGAGACCCATCATTCCACTGGTTAGATGTAATCTTTACAAAAAGTTTCCTTTCTCGGACTTCTCGCTTGTTGAACTCCAGCCAACGTTAATACGTAAAATATTAAAATGCAATACCAATCACTATCTATTGTCCTCCTTAGCACTCTTTCTTCTTCCTGTTCATTATTAATGTTTCTGTACCTAAGTCTTCTACACCTTGTAAACGCTCGTGTTATAGTGGTTTCGCTATCTTGCATGGGGTCATACCGATTATGAAAACCAACTCTGACAAAGAAATACCAGATATGTTAAGGGAAGATATGATAGAGAATTTATGAGAAAAACATTCTGCATTATCAGTAGTTGGTAACACCTCAAAATACGTGGAGATGCGGAATAAAAAAAAATTATTTCTTTCTATGTGCCATGTCCTTTCAGGACGTAGGCGATCATGTCTCCCAACCTCCGTCTATTCCTTGATGCTCTCAGAAGAATTCTTTTTCTTTTTATGTGCCATGTTCTTTCACGACGTAGACGATTATGGCTCTCCACCTCCCTCTATCCCTTGCAGCTCTCAGAAGAATTCTTTATCTTTTTGTGTGCCATGTCCTTTCAGGACGTAGGTGATCATGGCTCTCCACCTCCCTCTATCCCTTGCTGCTCTCAGAAGAATTCTTTTTCTTTTTATGTGCCATGTCCTTTCAGGACGTAGGCGATCATGTCTCCCAACCTCCGTCTATTCCTTGCAGCTCTCAGAAGAATTCTTTTTCTTTTTATGTGCCATGTTCTTTCACGACGTAGACGATTATGGCTCTCCACCTCCCTCTATCCCTTGCAGCTCTCAGAAGAATTCTTTATCTTTTTGTGTGCCATGTCCTTTCAGGACGTAGGTGATCATGGCTCTCCACCTCCCTCTATCCCTTGCTGCTCTCAGAAGAATTCTTTTTCTTTTTATGTGTCAAGTCCTTTCAGGACGTAGGCGATCATGGCTCTCCACCACCCTCTATCCCTTGCAGCTCTCAGAAGAATTCTTTTTCTTTTTATGTGCCATGTCCTTTCAGGACGTAGGCTATCATATCTCTCCACATCCCTCTATCCCTTGCAGCTCTCAGAAGAATTCTTTTTCTTTTTATGTGCCATGTCCTTTCAGGACGTAGGCTATCATGGCTCTCCACCTCCCTCTATCCCTTGCATCTCTCAGAAGAATTCTTTTTCTTTTTATGTGCCATGTACTTTCAGAACGTAGGCGACCATGTCGCTCCACCTCCCTCTAATCCTTGCAGATCTCAGAAGGATTCTTTTTCTTTTTATGTGTCAAGTCCTTTCAGGACGTAGGCGATCATGGCTCTCCAACTCCTTCTATCCCTTGCAGCTCTCAGAAGAATTCTTTTTCTTTTTATGCGCCATGTCCTTTCAAGACGTAGGCGATCATGTCTCTCCACATGCCTCTATCCCTTGCTGCTCTCAGAAGGATTTTTTTCTATTTATGTGCCATGTATTTTCAGGAGGTAGGAGATCATATCTCTCCACATCCCTCTATCCCTTGCAGCTCTTAGGAGAATTCTTTTCTTTTTATGTGACACGTATTTTTTAGGACGTAGGCGATCATTTCTCTCCACATCCCTCTATCCCTTGCAGCTCTCAAAAGAATTCTTTTTCTTTTTGTGTGCCATGTCCTTTTCGGACGTAGACGATTATGGCTCTCCACCTCCCTCTATCCCTTGCAGCTCTCAGAAGAATTCTTTTTCTTTTATGTGCCATGTCCTTTCAAGACGTAGGTGATCATGGCTCTCCACCTCCCTCTATCCCTTGCAGCTCTCAGAAGAATTCTTTTTCTTTTTATGTGCCATGTCCTTTCAGGACGTAAGCGATCATGGCTCTCCAACTCCCTCTATCCCTTGCAGCTCTCAGAAGAATAATTTTTCTATTTATGGGCCATGTCCTTTCAAGATGTAGGCGATCATGTCTCTCCACATGCCTCTATCCCTTGCTGCTCTCAGAAGGATTTTTTTCTATTTATGTGCCATGTATTTTCAGGAGGTAGGAGATCATATCTCTCCACATCCCTCTATCCCTTGCAGCTCTTAGGAGAATTCTTTTTCTTTTTATGTGACACGTATTTTTAGGACGTAGGCGATCATTTCTCTCCACATCCCTCTATCCCTTGCAGCTCTCAAAAGAATTCTTTTTCTTTTTGTGTGCCATGTCCTTTTCGGACGTAGACGATTATGGCTCTCCACCTCCCTCTATCCCTTGCAGCTCTCAGAAGAATTCTTTTTCTTTTATGTGCCATGTCCTTTCAAGACGTAGGCGATTATGGCTCTCCACCTCCCTCTATCCCTTGCAGCTCTCAGAAGAATTCTTTTAATTTTTATGTGCCATGTCCTTTCAGGACGTAGACGATCATGGCTCTCCACCTCCCTCTATCCCTTGCAGCTCTCAGAAGAATTCCTTTTCTTTTTATGTGTCATGTCCTTTCAGGACGTAGGCGATTATGGCTCTCCACATCCCTCTATCCCTTGCAGCTCTCAGAAGAATTCTTTTTCTTTTTATGTGTCATGTCCTTTCAGGACGTAGGCGATCATGGCTCTCCACCTCCCTCTATCCCTTGCAGCTCTCAGAAGAATTCTTTTTCTTTTTATGTGCCATGTCCTTTCAGGACGTAGACGATCATGTCTCTCCACCTCCTTCTATCCCGTGCGTTCTCAGAAGAATTCTTTTTCTTTTTATGTGCCATGTCCTTTCAGGACGTAGACGATCATGTCTCTCCACCTCCTTCTATCCCGTGCGTTCTCAGAAGAATTCTTTTTCTTTTTATGTGCCATGTCCTTTCAGGACGTAGGCGATCATGGCTCTCCACCTCCCTCTGTCCCTTGCAGCTCACAGAAGAATTTTTTTTCTTTTTATGTGACATGTCCTTTCTGGACGTAGGCGATCATGGCTCTCCACCTCCCTCTATCCCTTGCAGCTCTCAGAAGAATTTTTTTTTTTTTATGTGCCATGTCCTTTCAGGACGTAGATCATGTCTCTCCACCTCCTTCTATCCCTGTGCAGTTCTCAGAAGAATTCTTTTTTTTTTATGTGCCATGTCCTTTCAGGACGTAGGCAATCATGTCTCTCCACCTCCCTCTATCCCTTGCAGCTCTCAGAAGAATTCTTTATCTTTTTATGTGCCATGTCCTTTCAGGACGTAGGCGATCATGTCTCTCCACCTCCCTCTATCCCTTGCATCTCTCAGTAGAATTCTTTTTCTTTTTGTGTGCCATGTCCTTTTTGGACGTAGACGATCATGGCTCTCAACCTCCCTCAATCCCTTGCAACTCTCAACAAGTTCCTTCCCCCACACCACGTTCTGTCATCCACTTGCTTAAGGTCGCTATGTATGTCATGCATTGTTTCGCCTTGTCTCTCTTTCCCTCTTTTCGTCCTGTGAATATCAGATTCTCCACGCCCTCCTTCCTCATTGTGTGCCCCAGAAACTTCAGCTGCCTCTTCCTGATAAGCCAGAGTAAAAACAGAACCAATCTTATTTAAAACGAACCCAAATGTAAAATCACCCTAACTTTCTATCTACTGATCTACAGCAGCGCCCCCGCTTCCGGGTATTGTGGGGGTGGACAGCAAAATGTTCCTTTTCTCTTTCTGAGTGTGTCAATAAATAATTATCGTCTAACTGTATTTTCTTCCTCTTGGGACCTTTATCAGTTCAAAGTTCCGTCCAGACACTTGTCTCTATGCTTTTTTATTTAATTATATATATATATATTATATATATATATATATATATATATATATATATATAGCACATCTGTGAATATGCCCATCCCACAGCAAAGTGTATGTTGACAATACTCATCAATCCCGGATATGTTTTCTGGCTAATCCTGAGCAAATAAAATTAACTTCTTCTCCACCTCCTTCTTCTTCCTATCATTCTTCTTTTTCTTTTTCTTCTTCTTCCCATTTTCATTCTTCCGTCCTGGGTATGACAATAAACTACATCCGCGTCCTAGGTAAGACGATAAACTACGTCCAGCAGCAAGGCCTCTGATCAGGAGGTTTTGAGGAGCCTTGAACCACCTCTTAATTGCTGGTGTTCCCAGGACCACCCTGACCCGGGTTGGTAGCACTTGTTAGGATCCCAGCTATGGGCAAATAGTTGACACCCAAACTGATGTAAAAATAGGTTTTAATGCCAGAAATAATTTGTAATAAAAAAAATATTACCAACAAATTTTTTGGAGTAAAAATTATCAGCACTACTTTAAAAAAATAAAAAAGTACCAGCAATACAAACAGCTATACATTCTTTGAAAAAATATTACCCGCTATAGATTTCTTCAAGGAAAAACATTCCCAGAAATAGATTTTTGAAGAAAAACATTACGAACAATAACAAATTTTTTCTGCATTAAATAACCCATTGAGGTTGATATACCGTAAAACAAATCAAACATTGTCATGCTTCTTCTCTTCTTTTCTTCTCATTGTCATTTTTCTTCTTCTACTTTTTCTTCTTCTTCTTATTCTTCTTCTACTTTTCCTCTTCCTCCTTCTTCTCCCTTTTTCTTCTTCTCCCTTCTTCTTCTTCTTCTTCTTCTTCTTATTTCTTTTCTTCTCATTGTCATTCTCCTTCTTCTACTTTTTCTTCTTATCATTCTTCTTCTTTTCCTCTTCCTCCTTCTTCTCCCTTTTTCTTCTTCTCCCTTCTTCTTCTTCTTCTGCCTTCTTCTCCCTTCTTCTTCTTCTCTTATTTCTTTTCTTCTCATTGTCATTCTCCTTCTTCTACTTTTTCTTCTTATCATTCTTCTTCTTTTCCTCTTCCTCCTTCTTCTCCCTTTTTCTTCTTCTCCCTTCTTCTTCTTCTTCTCCCTTCTTCTTCTTCTTCTTCTCCCTTCTTCTTCTTCTTCTTCTTCTTCTTCTTCTTCTCTTATTTCTTCTCTTCTCATTGTCATTCTCCTTCTTCTACTTTTTCTTCTTATCATTCTTCTTCTTTTCCTCTTCCTCCTTCTTCTCCCTTCTTCTTCTTCTTCTTCTTCTCATTGTTATTCTTCTTCCTCTTCTGCTACTTCTCCTACTTCTTCCTCCTCTTCTTCTTGTTATTCTAGTTCTTCTTCTCTTCCTCCTTTTCTTCTCATTGTCATCCTTCTTCTACTTCTCCTCCTCCTCCTTTCTTTTCTTCTTTTTATCATTCTTTTTCTTTTCCTACTTCTTCTTCTCCCTTTTTTCTTCTTCCCACTGTCATTCTTCTTCTTCTTCTGCCTCGTCCTCTTCTTGTCATTCTTTTTCTTCTTATTTTTCTTCTACCTCTCCTCCTCCTTCTTCCTCCTTCTTCCTCCTCTTCTTCTTCGCCTCCTCCTACTCCTTCTTCTTCTTCTCATTCTTCTTCTTTTCATTGTCATTCTTCTTCTTCTTCTCCACCTTCTTTTCTTCTCATTGTCTTCTTCTCCTACTACTCCTTCTTCTTCTTTCTCTTCTTCTTCTTCTTCTTCTTATCGTTCTTCTTCTCTTCCACCTCTTCCTCCTCTTTCTCCATCCTTTTCTTCATCTTCCCATTTTCATTCTTCTTATTCTTCTACTTCTACTTCTTCCTCTTCTTCTTCTTGTCATTTTTCTTTTCTTCTTCTTCTCATTTTCAGTCTTCTCCGCCTTCTCCTCCTTCTCCTTCCCATTTTCATTCTTCTTCTTCTCCCCGTTATCATTCTTCTTCTCCTCCTCTTTTTTGATATCTCCAACCTTTATCTAATATTTCTTCTTCTTCTTCTTCTTCTTCTTCTTCTTCTTCTTCTTCTTCTTCTTCTTCTTCTTCTTCTCTCACTCTTTTTTGATATCTCCAGCCTTTATCTAATATTTTTCTTCTTCTTCTTCTTCTTCTTCTTCTTCTTCTTCTTCTTCTTCTTCTTTCTTTTCTTCTTCTACTTCTTATCATTCTTCTTCTTTACCTCCTCTTCTTTCTTCTACCTCCTTTTCTTCTTCTTCCCATTGTTATTCTTCTTCTTCTTCTTCTTCGTGTCATTGTCATTCTTCTACTACTACTACTTCTTCTTCTTCTTCTTCTTCTTCTCATTGTCTTTTTCTACCTCTCCTCCTCCTACTTCCTCCTCCTCCTCCTCCTCTTCTTCTCCTCCTCCTGCTCTTCTTTCTTCTTCTTCTTCTTCTTCTGGAAGTGCCTGCGCTATTATTGACGAAATCATGTCGAAAATTAGTCTGCCTGCTATTACTCATGAGCATCAAGTTCTATTGGTGGAGGTCTGTTTGGTCAGTCGACCCTTGCCCCTTCACTTAACCTTTTAGGTTGTCGCCCAAATTAACAGACACCCACAGCAGCAATATTCTTTAAGTTAATCAACTGAGTTACAATAGAATTAGAAGAAAGTAGACACATTCTTTCGAAAGAACAATGTAGCCAACGGCCATTTTTTTCTGAAAACATTTATTCAAGATGGCGGCGGTGATGGCATAAGATAATTAAGGTGTCAGAGGTGTTTTCCATGATTGTTTTTTTCCTACAGTTAAATATTATATAGACGATTAGATTAAGAAGCAATACCGGTTCTTCATTTACAACATATATATATATATATATATATATATATATATATATATATATATATAGCTTTATGCAAATTTAGATAATCCGTATGGGTAGACCTGAGGAGGATGATATCCGGAGAGCTCAATGTAAAATTGAGAGCAGATATGGTTGAATAAAAGACAGACCACGTTAAGATTCCATGTAATAAGCTATTTCACCATAACCCCTTTAACAGGGTTCTGGATCATCAGACTTTACTTCCAAAAGCTGAAATGAAAAATGAAAAGAAATTCACACGTTTTTGACGGACCTCATCAAGTATACGCAAAGTTAACGAAGTGAGGAAATGAGGTGGGAGAGAGGATATGAGTGTGTCATATGTATCATTTTAGTTTCCTATTTTAACCCCAGTGTGTCGGCTAGATGTTGCTCAAATTTAACGCGTCTCGTCTCTAGATAAAGGTGTCTAAGGGGTGAATGATAAGAACGACATTAAAGGAAGAAGTTACAACAACCCCAATAAATTACACGACAGGTTTCATTCAAATTCTTAGACGCTGTCAGTTCGCGTCACTTTAACGTGCATATTTGGGAGGTTAAGGTTTGATAAATATCTAAATGTTAAAACAATCTACGAAGAAATTAATTTGAAATTCGGTGGAGTTTTGGGTGTTTTCTATGAAACAGTCGATTGGAAAAATCCATAGACAGTACATTGAAAGAGTAATCCATTTTATATTTAGTAATTTTTTTTTTTTTTTCACTAAAAATTTTATCTTATAGCTTGTTAGGTTGACATCAATTCGTTTGATTTTTGTTCATTAAGTAAACTCGTGTATTGTTTTTGATTTTTGTTCATTAACTGAATTCGTGATTGTTTTTATGTACCCATTTATCAACAGTTATTCCCATTTAAATAATTTTATTCTCCACACTGGGGTAGTATCTTTCAATCTCAATTAAAATACCAATCTAAACTTTCCCTTCGTGCTATTTAAAATTCACTTCCAATTGGAGAATATTAGAGGAGAAATTTGGAAGAGATGTCACTAGCAGAAAATTAGGTCCTTCTTTTACAATTTCTTATCTACACATGTCTTAAACCCCTATTTGTAACCACATACCGATATCTTCTTATATGCCTATGAGTTCCTATATACACCTACACACACATTCACACGAAACGACCATATGTATATTTCCATCTTTACACATATACACCTGCAGAGACAACGCACATCCACATGACACCATTAACTGGTTCCAAAAAATAAAGAATAAAAATAATACTACTTTTATACAACTTGATATCATTGATTTCTACCCCTCAATCTCTAAAGAATTATTAGAAAATAGCTTAAGTTTTACCAGAATCCACACTGACATTACTGACGAAGAAATAAAAATCATAATGGACTCGAGACAATCCATACTAAAACTGAACAACACTACTTGGATTAAAAAAGATAGAGACAATTTTGATGTCCCAATGGGATCTTTTGATTCAGCTCAAATAGCAGACCTAATAGGTATATACATTTTAGATATCCTAAGTAGATTCCTTGACCCTCAAAATATAGGACTATACAGAGATGACGGGTTAGTTGCTGTACCTAATACTAATGGTCCGTTAACATCCCAACTACAAAAGAAAATAATTAGGGCCTTCAAATTTCTAGGATTTAGAATCGAGATTTCTTCCAACTTAAAAATAGTAAACTTCCTAGACGTTACATTTAATCTGAACAATAATACTTATAAACCCTTCCAAAAGGAAAACCAATCACCCATATATATAAATATCCACTCCAATCACCCGAAATCGATAATTAAACAAATCCCAAATACAGTAAATGCTAGAATAAATCAACTTTCCTCCAGTAAAACCATTTTTAACCAGAATAAATGGGAATACAATAAAGCCCTGTTAAAAAGCAATTTTAAGCAAACACTAAATTACATAGATAAGTCAGTAAGTAAAAAATCCACTAAACCCAAAAATAGGAAAAGGAAAATTATATGGTTCAACCCACCATTTTGTAACCTCTCCAATATTAACATAGGTAAATACTTCATAAAACTGATAGAAAAACACTTTTGCAAAAATGCATCTCTGAAAAAATATTCAACAAGATGAATCTAAAGATTAGCTATTCTTGCATGAACAATATGGAAAGAATTATTAGCTCACACAACAGTAAAATTTTAAGAGACCTTCAGGATAGTCTAAGACAAAATCAGGATACGACACGAATGGAAAAATCAACATGCAACTGCAGGACAGGATCAGATTGCCCAGTTGAAAGAATATGCATGGCAGAAAATACAATATATGAAGCAACAATTTTCCCCAAAGAAAAGGTTGAAGAGAAAAAGATATACATAGGAATATCAGCGGGAGATTGGAAACACCGACTATACAACCATCGCCAATCCTTCAAAAATAAATGCAAAAAAAAACAAACAGCACTATCAAATCATTATTGGTCTTTGTTGGAGAGTGGCCTAACACCACAAATAAAGTGGAGAATAATATCAAGAGCCAGAACTCCCAAAAACTTCAGAGACAGATGCAACTTATGTTTGAAGGAGAAAATCTTCATAATCAAACATAAAGATCCAGACATAGTACTAAATAGACACAATGAACTAGTTTTTAAATGCCGGCACAAAAACAACCTAAACCTAAGCAAGTACACTAAGAAATAATCAGATAGGAACAGCAATTTTGAATGTTTTATATTCCCTTTGTTTTTAGAAATGCACACGTGAACACATGACTATATGTATACAACTATGATAATGTATTTGCACACTGAGACACCTGTTGATATGTACATGTATATGTTTTTATACGGAAAAAGAAGCATACCAGGTTTTTTTTTTTTTTTTTGTGAGTGTGGAGATGTACAATTAGATAGGTACTTATATGTTTTGCCATAAATATGAAAGATCGGGTAATATTATATGTGTAAAGATATAGATAATGTAATTAAATACTGAGATAGTCTTCGAACGCAGGCATAAGTGGAGGCACGGGTGGACATGAGGATAGGGACAAATACGTGGGTAGATATATGTAAGTGCAAGTTAACGCATATGTGGGTATGTCGATATTCTGCATATTGCGTATGCATATGCATATATGTGTGTATGTATATGTAAGTGTGTATGTATGTATGCATATATGGGTGTGTGTATGTATGTGTATATGTGTATAAATATAGGTGTGTAAATATATATGTGCGTATGAATATATATGGATATGCAGATGTCCTTGTGTGTATATGTATATATGTAAGTATAAGTATATATGGAGATAGGTATGGAGACATGTGGATGTGCGTTGTCTCTGCAGGTGTATATGTGTAAAGATGGAAATATACATATGGTCGTTTCGTGTGAATGTGTGTGTAGGTGTATATAGGAACTCATAGGCATATAAGAAGATATAGGTATGTGATTACAAATAGGGGTTTAAGACATGTGTAGATAAGAAATTGTAAAAGAAGGACGTAAGATTTAATAGTAGAAGCATACAAAGCATATCAAAATGAATACAAAGATTCCAGAATTCCAAATCTTTTTCTCAACATAGTCTCTTTCCTTTTCAATCATGATACATGGGTCATTCAAACATCATTAATGCCTCTTCTTTTTGAATTACAACAGATTTAATAGTAGAAGCATACAAAGCATACCAAAATGAATACAAAGGTTCCAGAATTCCAAATCTTTTTCTCAACATAGTCTCTTTCCTTTTCATTCATGATACATGGGTCATTCAAACATTAATGCCTCTTCTTTTTGAATTACAACAGATTTAATAGTAGAAGCATACAAAGCATACCAAAATGAATACAAAGGTTCCAGAATTCCAAATCTTTTTCTCAACCTAGTCTCTTTCCTTTTCAATCATGATACATGGGTCATTCAAACATTAATGCCTCTTCTTTTTTGAATTACAACAGATTTAATAGTAGCATACAAAAGCAAAATGAATAAAAGGTTCCAGAATTCCAAATCTTTTTCTCAAATAGCCAAGGTCCCAAGATTCCAAATCCTTCTCAATCATGATATGTGGGCCATTCAAACATTAATGCTTTTTTTACAACAAATTTAATAGTAGAATCCTACCAAAATGATGAAAAATCTACTCGAATTACAAAACTAGATCTTAACATATTTTCCTCAAATTCGCGGCCATTTTATCCAATATTTTACTTTGATTGATTTTATTTAGAGGCATTTCGACTCCTCTGTGGGTTATTTTATTCGGAAATCTGAATATTTTGAATGCAATTGCATAACTTCAACTACAGGTAAAATGTATTGCTGGTCAGTTTATTCTAGATATGGATTGGTGTTTTTTTTTGTTTTTTTGTTTTTGTTTTTTTTTTTACTAAGAGAAACAATTCAATCCTCCTAAATGGCAGTGAATGATGAAGAGAAGGCTTGAAGTAAGAGAAACAAAGAAAAGAGTGCTGAACTGCTATGTAATATCAATCCTCCTATGGCAGTGAATGATGGACAATTTCCTCACAGATGAAGAGGAGACTTGAAGCAATAGAAACAAAGAAAAGAGTGCTGAACTGTAATCAATCCTATTGGACAATTTACAGATGAAGAGGAGTCTTGAAGCAAGAGTGAAAGAAAATGGAACTATGTAA